TATCCCCCACCCGCCCACCCTCAAGTCATAATTAAGAGACTCCTTTTGCATTGAGGTAGCGATGGCGGCGGTATATCTGTTTAGGGGAGACGAAGGCAGCCGCTTATGTCAGTGGAGAGGCTCACGAGGCGAGGTACTGTCTGTGCATCCTGTTCAGTCAGTGTGTACCTCATTGTGGCTTCAATCTGGACGTGTTGCTGAGTCTCGGTAATTAAACACGTGCTGAGCTAAGCTATACGGACAGATCATTAAAACGTAGCTATGAAGTTCGTTTATTGGAGACACTGAATCATACATATTAAAGAAATTAACAGCATCTCTCACTGCAACCTGAATGCTTGATTTATGTTTAGAGTGCTAAACTTTTTAATTAGTGGCATCAGTATGTGAGTGGCCAGACCCAGCCAGTTGCCTAACATTTCTATCAAGAGAGCAGACAAAAGGCAAACTAATTACCGTCTTCAGTTATGAAGGAACGCATTTCCACACGGTCATGTTATCACAGCTTGTCACTTTCTCTCCCCTTCATGACCTGCGCTAATTCTGTCAGTCCAGAAGCTGCTCTCTCTGCCGTCAGTGGAGATGAGAATCCAGCACAGGATCAAATGTTTCTAAACTTTTAACATCTAAGAGAGAGAGAGGAAGTGGAGTGGGTTTCAGATTCTCTTCTTTAATTCAACCTAAGAGCAGCGGCATGAGTATAAAGATGTTAAACCATCCCACTGTGGATTGGTCGCCCACCCTTTTGCTCCGCCTCTTCCTCTGTCTCAGTCAGTAAAACTAAATGTTTTTTTGTCGAAACGGGTAATAAAAAATTATATATTTTTTTGCAACCAGACCTTTTTAACTTCTGTGGAATAAATTTAACACAGTGTCACACTGTAATCACACTGACATGTTGAATGATTAGTTGACAGATTCATTACTTAGAGTGACAGTGTTTGATTTAAGATATTGCGGCTGGCAAACTAAAAGCAAGAGCAGACGTGCAGCAGTGCCATTAATTTTCCAACAGCGATGAAAACTATGACCTCAGTATCAAGGCAAATACAAAATGATGGCTTCTTTGTATACCTTACATACAATATCTCGCGTATACTAATTAAACCAATTACCGGTTATCTAGCTGTAATGTGTGCAGTATGTTGCTATATTTAAACATGCTACTGGTGCCAACAGTTTCATATCAGGCACAGTTTTATTTAAACGATAAAAATAGCTGCTACTTACAAGTTACTATCAAACTCTTTACAGTATAAAGTTGATTCTGTGCCATTAAACCATGTATGTCAGCATTTCAATTAGGGCTGCAACTAACAATTGTTTTTGATTAAATCATCTGAAAATATTTTAAAATGTGTCCCACACAAAGTTCCCACATCCCCAGGTGACGTCTTCAGAATATAATATCAAATTCACAATGATTTTAAACATTGAAAAACAGCAAATGCTCACATTGTTTTTGTCTCAACCTATAATGGTCAACATGAGTAAAACATACATTTCAACAGAGAAGGAGAAACAAAACTCACTCAGAGTCGCTGTCCCAATACAGTTTGTATTTTTTGTATTCCATCGCAGAATCGCAATTTTCTGATATTACTGCATTGTTTACTTTTCATTTATTACTCAAGAGAAATACCTTAACACAACGGCACTTCAGTGAGAGGAGACAAAAAAACAACAACCTGAAAATGACGACAAATGACTGCAGCAAAACTCTATGCTGCTCAAATTGCACTGCACTGAACTCAACTGCCAAAACTAACAGATGCAGTAATGTGGTTCCAAATGAAAGAACACTGATGTATTGTCACTGGTCATAAACTAGATAGGGTACAGCGCCATTACAGGGTCTAAAATCATCACTGTGACTGATGAAACAGAGCCCATTTGAAATGGCATACAAAGAGCCATTGAAGTATCTCTCTCTCTCTCTCTCTCTGAGGAGCAACATTTTGTTTTAGTGCAACTCCAAAGTGACAAATCGAGGTTGTGGAAATATCTGGTAATGCATTGTAAAAATAGCCCTGCGTTTATAGGTGTGTACACCATTTTACAGAGGAAGCAGTCTCTCTCACGCACACACACACACACACACACATCAGTAGAGGTGTTAAAGTTTGTGGATTGACCATATGTCATCCACTGGAAATAATGCAGAGACAAAGCCTGCCAAGCTGGGATTGACCATTACTGCCTGTGATGTATGTGTCTGTCACAAAAACAGACAATGAAATCAATATTCAAAAGCTGAGCCGGAATGGGGCCACTTCAGAGCTCGGCTCAATGACCACAACAGGCAGGAAAAACAGGAAAACCGACACTTTTCTTTAACACTCTCTTTTTTGGGGACTTCACCACTGTTTGTGGCGGAGGTATAAACTGGCACTGTTCATTTCCAGCGTGCAGGCTTGCTCTTCAAACACATTTCTCTCTATCCATCACTAAAGCCTCGCGTCAATTAGAAATTACAGCCCCACCGAGTTCAAAGTCTTTCTGTCACAACCTTGATTAAGTCTGCTTAACCTCACATTTCCACCGCCTGCTTAACATTCTACAGCTGTTTTATTCGGCTTTGGTCATTACTGCACCAACTTCAAAGGCTGCTCTTTTCCCCCGTCATTTGAAAATGCATGTCAATCACACACATCGCCCAGGGATGGATGGATTCAAGCAAACATGCGATTCCCCCCACTCACAACAGTTCATATCTGGTCAACTTAACGACAACGTGTAGGCACGACTGTAAAAGAAAAGGCAATATGTGGGGACTGAATCTGAAATTGTGGCAGACAATTTCTCTGAAAATATGTAATTAGTTAATTTCGCTCAGGTCCTGCCTCTAGAAATAACAGAAAAGCTTGTTAAAAAGGTATTAACACAGACTTTGACCTGAAATAAATGTATATTAAATAATAATAGGTTATTTATCAATAGATTTGTGATAAAAGAAAGTTATCTATTAGCAAGTCCATTCAAATAAACTGGGTTTTTATATCAAGTAATATCAATAATACTCCTGTGGTGATTTACAGAGCAAGTTTGTGGTGCCAAATCCTGATTTTACATACTTGTATCTCCTTATGCATCGTGTAGAAGTGTGTAGAACTTTGGCAAATATTTATTATTTACTCCCTTTTCCTAAGAGATGAACACAGACGTCAGGTCAAGAGCTTGGAGTGACCATTAGAGGTAACCTCCCCACTTTGAACTGCAGTGTTTTAGGACTATTTCTGTATGAGATGTTTTCCTGTGATCTCGCTACGCCCCAGCACCCCTCCCCC